TTGTATACTCTGGATATTAGGGCTCTATCTGAAGTGTGAGGAGTAAAGATATGTTCCCAGGATGTAGGCTCCCTATTTACCTCTCTTATTGTTTCTTTTGCTGAGAAAAAACTTTTTAGTTTGAGTGACATTTGGACTTTAATCTGAACTTTCAGAGCCAAAATCCAGAATGAAAAAGCCTGGAAACCTCAGACTCTGCAGCAGAACCCAGAAGGAAATACTTTTGTCAAGGAACAATTTCCTTCTCCCAGAACACCACACTGACCTGCCTAGGGTAAAACAGGTTCCAGTTGAGACTTAAAAAACAAACAAAATGAACAATATTGTTGTAGAATAACCTAAATGTATCAAATTTTAAGTGTATAGGTAAATAAGTTTTAGTTAATGTAGAGTTGTGCAGTCATCACCATATTTCAATTTTTAAAACACTTTCATTACCCCAAAAGATTCCTCAAGCTTATTCAAGGTCATTCTCTGGATGCAACCTTCTCCTTAGCATGATAGCACCAGGAGGTGTGGGGATAGTGAAGGGATCCCCAAGAGAGCCTCCGTTCATGAGTTTAGAGCCAGTGCTCCCAACAACATGGGCCCACAGATCTACATACTCCTGGGGATACCCAGGTGGGGCCTCCTCCTGAGGGACTGGCCATGCTGAGCCCCATCCTTACCCCTTCCAGGTGGATAAAGTTTGAAGAAAAGGTCGAGGAAGGAGGCGAACGCTGGAGCAAGCCCCATGTGTCCACGCTGTCCCTGCACAGCCTCTTCGAGCTCCGTACCTGCCTGCAGACGGGGACAGTGCTGCTGGATCTGGACAGTGTCTCCTTACCACAGATCATAGGTGAGGTGGGGGCCGCCACAACATCTCTCCTGGGGTCCCTGAAAACCAGGGCAGCTCTCCCTGCCTTGTGCCCATCTGCAAGTCTTGTGGACTGGCTCATCCCTGACACCTGCCTGATTCTGCAGAGACCAGCTTTGGCTGGTGATGTTCCCCAATCAGCATCCTAGCTCCTCCAAGTTTCAGCTCCATGTATAGCTCCCTCGGGGAGGAAAAAATCATCCTCTGAAATGCTGTCCAGGAATGCAGCAAAATAAGAGAGAGTACTCCGACCATGGTCAGACAAGTATGGCCATGACAACCTGTTTCTTTTCAGAGTAAAATGGATCATTGTTCATCTGTAGGAAATTAGCTGCCACTTAGTGGAGTGTTAGAAGGAAGAAGTGGCTTGCCTTATCCTCCCTAAAATGTCTATGTGTTTTGCTCTAGCACATTTGATTTTGCCAGAAGTATTTTGCCCAAAATGCTTTTCTTTAAAAATCCATTTTAGGACTAAAACTATTTAATAACAGTACTTTGTGCTTCCTGGGACACTTCCATATATTCTATTTCATGGGATTTTAATAACACTGACAGAAAGATAGGTGCTTCTAAATACACATGCATAAACACAGAGACAAGCACATACTCTTGTACATGAAGAGACTGTTTGTGATGTGCCCAGGTTTCCACAGTTAGTGTCAAGGCTGGGACAATTTCCACATCCCCTGTCACCTTTAGCTCACTTTCAGTCCCACTAATAACAGGTGAAATTGAAGAGCCCCACCTTGGGTCCATTCTGTCCCATATGGACCAGGCATGTTCGTTTCCCACTCAGATGATGTCATTGAGAAGCAGATTGAGGATGGGCTCCTGCGACCAGAGCTTCGGGAAAGGGTCAGTTATGTCCTCCTGAGGAAGCATCGTCACCAAACCAAGAAGCCCATCCACCGTTCCTTAGTGGACATTGGAAAGTCAGTCTCCTCCACCTCAAGTAAGTTGGGCTCTCCACTGCTAGCCATTGGGTATATGAGGACAGTATCAGGCCCCAGTGCCCAGGTGAGCCCACCTTGGTGACTGGGAATATCTGCCTTCATGATCTGGAGAAATTCTGCTGTTGGGGATCCCTCATCTTCCTTCTCTGGTAGGCTTCTGAGGACTCCAGTTGCACCCTAATGTGTCTTTATCACCAGAGCAGAGCAATTCCTAGGAAGAGAGTTGGTTCTCAGCCTATTTTGCATACTACAATCACTTGGGATGTTGGATCTTGTCCTAATGCCTGGTCCCTGGCCTGGAGAGCTGGATTCAGTTGGTCTGGAGCATGGCTTGGGGGAGAGAAGAATGTTAGAAAAGTGCCCAGGAGATCCTCCCATGCACACAGTACTGAGGAATGCTGGTAGGATGGCTTGTTTAGGAAAGGACCTGAGAGTTTCCCACTGAGCTCCCAAGAGGAGCTAAGAGCCTTAGCAGGAAATGTCACACTTGGGGGTTTGTTAGAAGTGGCTGGGTTCGCCTCAAAAGTTCCAGAACTTACATGCCTGGCAGCTGGTATCATTCTGATTAGCAGAGCCTCAGGCCTGGGAAAGAGGATTGTCTATCTCCAGCCCTCTGTTCAGTATCTCAGTAGAGATGCCCAGAGACACTGACCCTCCTGAACCTGTCAGATAAATGCAGGAACCAGAACAAAATTGATAAAGTTGCTAATAAAAACCCTTCAGGGATTCCTGGGAAAGCTGGGAATGGATCCACCATTTGACCCAGCTATTGCCCTTCTTGGACTATTCCCTGAGGACCTTAAAAGAGCACACTATACGGATACGGCCACATC